TTTAAAACGCTCAGAATAACACGATTTAACCAAAACCTTTCGTTTAAATATGAAATTTATCAATCACTGGGACGGTATCCATTGCTGTACTTGAATTTGATCATAACGATACTTATAGCAGATTACGGCAAAATAGCATCATTAGAAACCAATTTCTATCTGATAAATTCGTTTGTTACTACTTCAAAAATACTCCTGGCGAGGTTACTGTTTTATGTTTACAGCTTTCTAACGATACTAAATTAACACCGAAGGAATCTTCACACGTTTTATTCATACAGTTTCGAAAACGGAAGTATGTCACTGAGCGAAAATCCACTGTTATTGGGAAATATCTGTATATTTTAAATTTTAATCAGAATTTTCCGGTTACGTAAACTATGAAAATAAAAAAAGTGGATATTGTGAAATTTTACAACAGCCAAAGATCGGCACAATTTTCGCTTCCTTTGGGCCTTATCTGGACGCTATAAATGTGTTAGCATACATTATTAAATAACTAATTTAATTTTGTTGTAAATGCATTAATTAAATAGTGTGATAAACACCGCCTTTATATTTATAAACAGTGGGATCAGATCTTTTAAATGAATGAATGAATGAATGAATGAATGAATGAATGAATGAATGAATGTCTTGGTTTCCTCTGAACAAATCCGAAGATTCTCAAAACATCAGAATTATGTAATGAAATAATTAAATAACAAAATAATCAAATGTCCCTCATATGTATAGTCTGTAAACAGTGCGAAATATTGGTCAGATATTTTAATTTGATATAAATACTTTGAGAATCCTATAATAGTGAAATGCCACGTTAATTCATCAATGTCATTGTTATGTGCACCAAGAAAGAATGCTAACATATCATGGTCTTCCATCATCTCTAATTTAACATACATTTCAACATCACGATTATCAATTAGAGTGGAAAAGAATACACCTCTCTCTCTGAAAGTATACCTTAACAGTTTAAGATGACATAGTGATAATAATCATGAACAAAAGTATTACATTTTGTACATTCCTTAGATATTTTGCTTCTGGATCCAGTCCTAATTACATACTGTATTTCTTCTCTCAATTCTGGATGTAACACTAGAATGCTGAATAACAAATGAAGAGTAAGCGTTGAGCGAATTTTAGAATATCGAAACAGGTCAGGTCCACATGATAATTTATATTGCCATACATCTTCCTCGTGGGTAATTTCATGTAATACAATCTATTGCGCGTATTCTTCGCAGGGAATTCCCCTGTGCAAACGTAGAGAAATACATGATGAAGTAGATTATATTTCTTAGCTGTTGAAAGCAACACTCCACATAAACTCCACATAAATTATTGTTAAGAAAATAATAGAGTGACGTAGATGCGCAGTAGTTTTACAAATTGAGACACATGAGTTGTTGCAAAGACGCCCCAACAGCTGTAGTCTACATTTAGCTACATAGCCAACCATGCTCCAAAGTTCTTAGATTCGCAATAGTGGCATGAATAGGAGAACGTTTGTCAAAACCATGTATAATCCTGGAAAAGTAACGTTGGGTGCTTTCAGCTAATTCAGGATCTTTACCATGGAAAAGTAATCCACATCTATAAAAACTTGCTGTTAAAATAATTCTTTTCCATATCTGAATATTTGCATACTGATGTAAATCACTACTTTTCAGACCAACAGAGAGGAGAGAGTTAATACTGCGCCTTACTTTTGTGCAGCTCTCTTCAATATATAATTTGAAAGGACGATTACTTTGTAGAACAACACCCGCATATTTTACATTATCAAACACAGGTATGTCATAATCCCCAAAGTGATAAGCATACGTACACAATAATTGCTTCTTTTAATGAAACATAACAATTTTACTTTTCGATGCATTATAAGTTTGGATGCGTAATTAACAACTGTATCTAAAGCTGTTTACAGACCTTTAGGGCTGAAACTGAGTTGTATCATCAGCAAGTAGCACGCATGGTAAACTAGCATTATATATGCATATTCCTGCATCTAACTGCCGAAGCTCAGTTATGAGGTCATTTATGTACACAAGAAGAAGTCAAGCTGAGATAACTCTACCCAGACCTATACCTTGTCTAACAGCAAATGCATCAGATTGTTCGCCCTTATACTAAACACACGCAAACATGAAAGTATAACAGTGGTGTAACAGAGACCACATGTTACCTCATACCAAAGATGATAAAGTTTTACAAAGAGACCCGAGTGCCATATTCGATCAAAAGCTTTCTCGTTATCTAGAAATGCTGTGTACACATTCCATGAGGGTAAATAGCGACAGCAACGTGCTCAAACTGCAACATATCGGGAAAATTACAGGCATTTCGGGATGTCCACGTTTCTAATGTTCTCAAAAAGCTTACTAAGGCAAGATGTTAAAGTAATACCTCTATAATTGACAGGGTTTGATTTATCTTTGTTACCCTCATAAATAGCTATAATTATCTTTAGGCTTCAGGTGTGTACTGAAGTCTTAGAATTGCATTAAATAGTGGTGCCAACTTCCGCACTAGCAGCTCACCGCCAAACATCACATGTTTATTATCAACAAAGTCAGGGCCAGATGATCTTTTTCTTCATCAGTTTCTGTACATATCTAGAGACTTCGTGAACGGATATTTCAGCACACAAAATCCGTAAAGCAAGTTAAAAAGAAGATATAAATAGCCAACGCAGAGAATAAACAATGTCGATTATCTGCCAAAACAAATTCAAATGGGCGTAAAAGGAAAATAGTGGTGAAAGTTATATGAATGGAACATTTAAGATCAGCGACACAATGTGCTTAAAAAATAAGAAAGTAATCTCGTGTGGATGGCGTTTTGAAACGGTGTTGTGTATATCCTCATTCATGTTCGACGAAGTGTGTACAAACATGCGTAGGGGGAGACAAAACCCGCGATGTATTCAGCAGATAATTTTGTAATGGGGTTGGTTTTGGGTAGATTATTTGCCTATTCTGTACGCTCGACGGTTTCGACCCTTTCTAACGTGTATACGGTTTTTACAGTCGTGTATTGTTATTAGATCGCATTTGAGCAGAAATGTCTGGATAAATGTCGTGCGGTGTATTATATATGTATAATATAAAAAAATAAAATAAAATAATAATGTAAAAATTTGCAGAACACAGAACGCGACAAATTATTTCGTGTAAATTCAAATACCACCTGAGTAGCTCCACTTAAATAATACGCTGTAAGCATGGCTGAGAAAGACGGGTCGAAAGGAACCAACAACATAAGTCCTTGTGGGAAGGTTTTCGTCACGCTGACGATGCATAGATCTTAATGTAGCAGGGCGTGGAGTCATCCCACAGATGACATCCTTACCTTGTCAGCTTGCTGACGGGGTTAACCTCTTTGGTCATGTGGACAAGGCGTCCGACTTCTGATCAGAAGGTCCGTGGTTTGAATCCCATCAGGGGACTCGGAAATTTTATGGCCGCTACATTGGCGCCCAACGTGGGGCTGAGCACGTTCATATTAAATTTGAGCAAAATAAGCCTCAGTACCCTACTATGCGGCCTGGGACGTGCCTTCTGTTGACGCGGGAGTATGTAGCAGGGCGTGGAGTCATCCCACAGATGACATCCTTACCTTACATATTTGGTGGCGATGGAGTGGTTTGTGGAATGTCATTGAGAAACATATTTGGTGGCGATGGAGTGGCTTGTGGAATGTCATTGGGAAACATATTTGGTGGCGATGGAGTGGTTTGTGGAATGTCATTGGGAAACGTATTTTGTTGCGATGGAGTGGCTTGTGGAATGTCATTGGGAAAAATATTTTGTGGCGATGGAGTGGTTTGTGGAATGTCATTTGGAAACGTATTTTGTGGCGATGGAGTGGCTTGTGGAATGTCATTGGGAAACATATTTTGTGGCCATGGAGTGGTTTGTGGAATGCCATTTGGAAACATATTTTGTGGCGATGGAGTGGTTTGTAGACTGTCATTGGGAAACATATTTTGTGGCGATGGAGTGGTTTGTCGACTGTCATTGGGAAACATATTTTGTGGCGATGGAGTGGTTTGTGGAATGTCATTGGGAAACGTATTTTGTGGCGATGGAGTGGCTTGTGGAATGTCATTGGGAAACAGCTTGCTGACAGGGTTAACCTCTTTGGTCATGTGGACAAGGCGTCCGACCTCTGATCAGAAGGTCCGTGGTTCGAATCCAATCACGGAACTCGGAAATTTTATGGCCGCTACATATGTAACAGGAGAGGCAGATTCACTAGTCTCTTTTATTTCTTGTTCAGGTAGGTAAACCATAGTATACATGCCATTTAATAATTTGATATCACAAAACTATGGAATACTGATATGGATATTAGTGCAAATCTCGACCTTTGGAAACGAGCTAAAATGCCCAAAGTACCAGAATGCGAGATCGCGAGAACACGATAACGCGAGAAGGCGATAACGCGAGAACGCGAGAACGCGAGATTTGACCAAAATCTCTCGATCTCGCATTCTTGTGTATTTTGTACATAACATTTTTTGTCAAAAGTCGACAACGCGAGAATGTGACATTTGGACATGATATGAAATCGCGTAATCTCGCAATCTCGACTTGCCAAATCAGGCCACAAAAACGCGAGAATGCGACATTTCATTTTCTCGCAACGGTTCTTGGGTTCTCGGAAATCTCGCTTTTTAGACGTTATCCGTGCGCAGACGTAATATCATAAATTCAGTGCGACTGCACGCTTTATTAGTCCCGATGTCATGCTTTGTACTTGCACTTCATTTTCAATGTAGCATTCAGCAAAATTTATATATATATTCAAAAATGAGGTTAATGTTCACTCGGTGTACATGTAATATATAACAAAATAATAAAGTCCACGTTAGTCCATCATCTTCTATATATTCACAACAACAAGTAGTAATTGAATTTGTTGACATGGCAGTAGTGCCATGTACCCTGATTAGGGGTTTCAGAGATTCAATGGTATATTTTATATAATTCCAGATCTTTGTCCCTGACGACAACAAAGATGACAGATACTGGTGTCGGAGGAAGAAGAACAAGGAGACAAGGAGGTGGCTTGCGTGCTGTCATTGGGAAACATATTTTGTGGTGATTGAGTGGTTTGTGGAATGTCATTGAGAAACATATTTTGTGGCGATGGAGTGGTTTGTGGAATGTCATTGGGAAACATATTTGGTGGCGATGGAGTGGTTTGTGGAATGTCATTGAGAAACATATTTTGTGGCGATGGAGTGGTTTGTGGAATGTCATTGGGAAACATATTTGGTGGCGATGGAGTGGTTTGTGGAATGTCATTGGGAAACATATTTTGTGGCGATGGAGTGGTTTGTGGAATATAATTGGGAAACATATGTGGTGGCGATGGAGTGGTTTGTGGAATGTCATTGGGAAACATATTTGGTGGCGATGGAGTGGTTTGTGGAATGTCATTGAGAAACATATTTTGTGGCGATGGAGTGGCTTGTGGAATGTCATTGGGAAACATATTTTGTGGCGATGGAGTGGTTTGTGGAATGTCATTGGGAAACGTATTTTGTTGCGATGGAGTGGCTTGTGGAATGTCATTTGGAAACGTATTTTGTGGCGATGGAGTGGCTTGTGGAATGTCATTGGGAAACATATTTTGTGGCCATGGAGTGGTTTGTGGAATGCCATTTGGAAACATATTTTGTGGCGATGGAGTGGTTTGTCGACTGTCATTGGGAAACATATTTTGTGGCGATGGAGTGGTTTGTCGACTGTCATTGGGAAACATATTTTGTGGCGATGGAGTGGTTTGTGAAATGTCATTGGGAAACGTATTTTGTGGCGATGGAGTGGCTTGTGGAATGTCATTGGGAAACAGCTTGCTGACGGGGTTAACCTCTTTGGTCATGTGGACAAGGCGTCCGACCTCTGATCAGAAGGTCCGTGGTTCGAATCCAATCACGGGACTAGGAAATTTTATGGCAGCTACATATGAAACAGGAGAGGCAGATTCACTAGTCTCTTTTATTTCTTGTTCAGGTGGGTAAACCATAGTATACATGCCATTTAATAATTTGATATCACAAAACTATGGAATACTGTAATGGATATTAGCGCAAATCTCGACCTTTGGAAACGAGCTAAAATGCCCAAAGTACCAGAATGCGAGATTGCGAGAACGCGAGAACGCGAGAATGCGAGATTTGACCAAAATCTCTCGATCTCGCATTCTCGTGTATTTTGTACATAACATTTTTTGTCAAAAGTCGACAACGCGAGAATGTGACATTTGGACATGATATGAAATCGCGTAATCTCGCAATCTCGACTTGCCAAATCAGGCCACAAAAACGCGAGAATGCGACATTTCATTTTCTCGCAACAGTTCTTTGGTTCTCGGAAATCTCGCTTTTTAGACGTTATTGGTGCGCAGACGTAATATCATAAATTCAGTGCGACTGCGCGCTTTATTAGCCCCGATGTCATGCTTTGTTCTTGCACTTCATTTTCCATGTAGCATTCAGCAAAATTATGACCTCGACACTTGAAAAGAATCACGAAATATAGCGATGATTAATTAACGTCTTTTGGTATGACGCGAGTACTGCTGTGAGGTGTCAAGCAACAAACACTTAGCTTTTTATGCAAATTGTGTGAGCGGCGGATGCTACCGGCAGTCAAGGACATGCTTGCCCTTTCTGGAACACTGGTTTTCAGTGATCAATTCATATATATATATATATATATATATATATATGTATATATTCAAAAATGAGGTTAATGTTCACTCGGTGTACATGTAATATATAATAAAATAATAAAGTCCACGTTAGTCCATCATCTTCTATATATTCACAACAACAAGTAGTAATTGAATTTGCTGACATGGCAGAAGTGCCATGTACCCTGATTAGGGGTTTCAGAGATTCAATGGTATATTTTATATAATTTCAGATCTTTGTCCCTGACGACAACAAAGATGACAGATACTGGTGTCGGAGGAAGAAGAACAAGGAGACAAGGAGGTGGCTTGCGTGCTGTCATTGGGAAGCATATTTTGTGGTGATTGAGTGGTTTGTGGAATGTCATTGAGAAACATATTTTGTGGCGATGGAGTGGTTTGTGGAATGTCATTGGGAAACATATTTGGTGGCGATGGAGTGGTTTGTGGAATGTCATTGAGAAACATATTTTGTGGCGATGGAGTGGTTTGTGGAATGTCATTGGGAAACATATTTTGTGGCGATGGAGTGGTTTGTGGAATGTCATTGGGAAACGTATTTTGTGGCGATGGAGTGGCTTGTTGAATGTCATTGGGAAGAATCACGAAATATCGCGATGATTAATTAACGTCTTTTGGTATGACGCGGCCACCAGTGGCAACGTCTTCAGCTTGAAAGTGCTGTGTAATTTTAACACACAATCTTATGTAATGCATGCAAGTTCTCTCAAGTTGTTTGGGTTTCTAGTGTCCTTTAAATCAAAACCTTCTCCACATTCTCCTTCTATAATCTAACCAAAACAAATGTGTGTATATGAATGACCAATGATACTGAAACATAAAGCGTCCGGAAGCTGGAAAAAGAGAAACTATCACAGGCCAACGAGCTTCACCATGAGGTTTTTCGGCTAGCACATGCATTAAAACAAAATTTACACAGACCAATTTTGAGCGTTCGGCTAAAACGAGCAGGCCCGATAATTTACACGACTCAATATTCACTACTTTAGGCCATAAAAAATAATTAACTGATTTCCCCTCCCACTGACTACGAAACATCCCGCATCACAAAATGGCCCAACTAAAAACGCATGATGCACGTGAATTGCATCCTTCGACAGTAACTCTTCACAGATGTCTTAAATAGTTCGACAGATGCCTTAAATAGTTCGTTAGATGCCATAAAAAGTTCGATCAGGAACAAATTAAATGCCTCCCACCTCCCATATCCTTAAAAATTCAATCAAACTGTAATACTTAATTTATTGTGGACATAACATCCACATTCAGAATGCGAGAATGCCCCTAACAGTATTCCATACAAAACAGTTGCATCGTGTTTCACCTGCTTTGCCGTTCTTAGTCCGTCATTACACCTAATCATGTTACTGTTTCAGAATATGACAAGGACCAGAAAACAGGAAAAAAGGTGTCAGCCTTTTTTGGACCCGACTTGTGGGACGAGACGTACGACAATACTGACATCAGCTTGGAATACATGGATCTGGAAGAATTCTTGAAAGAGAATGGCATCCCAAACAATCCAGACAATACGAACGCTGCCAATCTGAACAAGTTTCAGTCTCCAAACAGACAGATGATCAGTAGTGGTCACAACCTCCAGGCCTGTGACATGCCACAAGACACGTTAGCCAGGAACAGCCAACAAGCCATCAACTCAGCTCCAGACACGTTACCCAGTAACAGCCAACAAGCCATTAGTTCAGCTCCAGACACGTTTCCCAGTAACAGCCAACAAGCCATTAGTTCAGCTCCAGACACGTTTCCCAATGACAGTCCGCAAACCACTCCATCACCACAAAATATGTTTCCCAATGACATTCCACAAGTCACTCCATCGCCACAAAATACGTTTCCCAATGACGTTCCACAAACCACTCCATCGCCACAAAATATGTTTCCCAATGACAGTCGACAAACCACTCCATCGCCACAAAATATGTTTCCCAATGACAGTCGACAAACCACTCCATCGCCACAAAATATGTTTCCCAATGACATTCCACAAACCACTCCATGGCCACAAAATATGTTTCCCAATGACATTCCACAAACCACTCCATCGCCACAAAATATGTTTCCAAATGACATTCCACAAGCCACTCCATTGCCACCAAATACGTTTCCCAATGACATTCCACAAACCACTCCATCGCCACCAAATATGTTTCCCAATGACATTCCACAAACCACTCCATCGCCACCACATATGTTTCCCAATTATATACCACAAACCACTCCATCGCCACCAAATATTTTTCCAAATGACATTCCACAAACCACTCCATCGCCACCAAATATGTTTCCCAATGACATTCCACAAACCACTCCATCGCCACAAAATATGTTTCTCAATGACATTCCACAAACCACTCCATCGCCACCAAATATGTTTCCCAATGACATTCCACAAACCACTCCATCGCCACAAAATATGTTTCTCAATGACATTCCACAAACCACTCCATCACCACAAAATATGTTTCCCAATGACAGCACGCAAGCCACCTCCTTGTCTCCAACCACGTGTCCCAGGCAACTGCCATCTCACCAGTCACAGCTCGCCGTCTCGCAATATGACACGATGCCATCACCACCAACATCAGGTATGTGGTTCAGGATATCATCACCGTGTGTTGGGCAAGGCCTTGTAATGCCACCAAAGCTTTCTTAGGTTACCAGTTGTCCATGTGAGAAATTTAGAGTACAAACTTCTTCACCAGGGATGCCCTATTGAACAGTTCAAGAATTGTTTTCGTTTTGAAGACTTGTTTGCCATCCTCAAAAAGTACTTGAGGTGTTTTGCAACGTTTGTTTAGTAAAATCAGAAGAAATAGGCTACCGATCGCGTTCAGAACGTACTTTCAAAGAAATATTTCCTGTTGCGATGATTGAGCAATCAGCAAGATCATGGTCTTACGTAGCGCTAAATGAACAGATTTCAGAATGCATCATGTCAAACTCGGATGCAAGAATTTTGTTTGGAGTCTTTAAAACTGGAGACTAAGATGTGTTATTGCATCCTTTTCAGCTCTAACAGAAAGAAAGCTTGGTGAATCCAAGGCTACTGAGTCGTCGTACACGGACTGGCCCGAGCCTAAAGTAGACTTTGACCTTTCACCTCCTGATTTGGCTTTGGTGAGCATACCAGGTGTGTATTGTTTTTCTGACCAATGTTTTCCTACTTTGTAGTGACCTCCTCGGCAGCTTACAGTCCTGTAGGAAGTCCAGCAGCCAGTCCTAAATCTGTTGACTGTTCTGTGTCTTCAGATGATTTGACTCTCGTTAATATCGAAGGTAAAACAGATATAATGTGTGTCTTCTGTTTTTAAAGGTATATCTGTATGGTCCATCACTTGATTGTCTGGTTTGTTTAGGGCGTGAGTACTACTCTGCGGCGTCAGTCAACAAATTTTAAACAAACGTTTACTTTTATATGCAAATTATGAGAGTGGCGAGTGCTACCGGTAGGGCTGGACATGCCTACCCTTTTCGCGAACAGCTGGTGTCATTGCTGACTTTCAGCGATCATTCATATATTTTTCACCGCTATTTTGCCTTTTACGGCTAATGGAAGCTGTTTCAGCGGATCATCGAGACTGATTATTCTCTGGCGTTGACGTTAATGTTAATATTGTTGTTGCAGGCTTAAAAGACTTCGATCCTCGAAAGCGAACATTTTCAGAAGAGTTGAAACCTCAGCCGATGTTTAAGAAATCAAGAAAGGTATGTCCACTTAGCGTTTTGACAACCAGTGCCTAATGTATCTTCGTTGCCTTATAGTCTCCAGAGAACGAAGATTAAGGTTTGAGTTTCACATCAGCATCATTCTTGTTTTTAATGTGCATCTCCACCAGCAAAATACAATACGGGGCGGTGGGATAGCCTAGTGGTTAAAGCGTTCGGTCGTCACGCTGAAGGCCCGGGTTCGATTCTCCACAAGGTACGCGTTTTCTCACTTTAATTGTTCAAGTTCTCTGCGAAGAAACGTGTTTTCGCGCTCTGATATCCCTGGTCGTGATATTGCTGGGATACCCAACTCACTCACTCAATGTACAATACATATATTTCATGCCGAGACGTTAACATTGCACCCCCACCCCTCCAACACACACAGACACAGACAGACACAGACAGATACAGACACACACACACACACACACACACACACACACACACACACACAGTCCGCCGTCGCGAGTACTGCTGTGAGGTGTCGAGCAACAAACACTTAGCTTTTTATGCAAATTGTGTGAGCGGCGGATGCTACCGGCAGTCAAGGACATGCTTGCCCTTTCTGGAACACTGGTTTTCAGTGATTCATTCATATATATATAGATATATATAGATATATATATATATATATATTCAAAAATGAGGTTAATGTTCACTCGGTGTACATGTAATATATAATAAAATAATAAAGTCCACGTTAGTCCATCATTATATAATTCCAGATCTTTGTCCCTGACGACAACAAAGATGACAGATACTGGTGTCGGAGGAAGAAGAACAACGTCGCAGCTAAACGATCCCGGGACGCCAGACGCATCAAGGAGAACCAGATAGCCATGAGAGCTGCATTCTTGGAGAAGGAAAACTCAGTTCTTCGCACTGAACTTGAACAAATAAAGAGAGAAAACGCGGATATATTGATCTCATTGACCGAGTTTGAGACAATGGAACCATGATGGACACGTCTTCCATTTTCTATAAGATGTTAGTTTGTATATAGTTGGACCTGTACGCTAAAATGAATTCGTCTGTGATGAAGACAAACACCCTATGCCGTCGTGGAGCGGTAACACGCAATCAAGACACCGATCATGGTGCCCGATCCATTTGATCGCCAATTACGTTGGTTGGTTCGTTTGTTGTTTAACGCCACACTCCAGCTGTATGACGGCGGTCTATAAATAATCGAGTCTGGACCAGTCAATTTAGTGATTGACATCATGAACATCGATCCCTGCAATTGGGATCGATCACATTCATCAGCCAAGTCAGAGAGCCTGACCACCCGATCCCGTTAGTCGCCTTTACGACAAGCATAGTCGCCTTTTACGTTCCTGAGGACCTATTCTAACCCTGGTCTTCACGGGTCCGTTAATTACGACAATGCATGGAAGTTGGCTTCCATATTTTACTTCATGCTGGTATTGTCTTGTAAAACAGGAATATCCCCAGGTGAAGATGATAGATTTATAACATGTTTATACCGTTAAATAGACCGAAATGCCATTCTGTAGAAAAGATATCTGCAGTATTTGGTACAGAGACTATATGAATTTACTGTTATAGTGTTGTCAAATAAACATATTATTTTTTATTGAGTTTTATGTTGTGTTAAAGCAATATAAAGAGGTATCTAGTGATGGTAATGGATGGATAAGAGATGGAAAGGATTAGGTGTACCAACAGATTATGTTGGAGGTTTATAGGAAAGGTGCAAACAACCAAGAGACACGAGGGGTGTGTAGTGAAAGGATGGAATCACAATCGTGATGTGATACGTACCACTCCAGATATGATACGTACCACTCCAGATAGGACACGTACCTACCCAGATGTGATACGTACCACTCCAGGTAGGATACGTACCACTCCAGATATAATACGTACCGTCACTGTACGTCCTAGTTAGAATCAGGGTCCCGTTTCACAAAGCGATCGTAACGCTACGATTGCCATAAGTCTATGTTAATGTATAGGAGTTATTATCGTCTCAGCGCTGGAAAGGCCCAGAATGGTATCACGTAAATGGTTTTTAGACTTTAGTCAGGCAACACCGTTAGTCAGTCAAATCCGTTCGTCAGACAACCCCGTGAAGTTGGCAACCGATTTAGCCAGGCGATCCCGTTTGTCAATTTAATTGTTATTGTACGAACAGCATGTGCATGGTAGACTTGGACTTGGAAGAGGATTTTCTTTTCATGAAATTAATTTTCCAAGCCGTAAAAATAAATAGCTAAAAATCTAAATGATTCTCCTACACAAGAATGAAATCATATTGCCGGCATCTTTCAACACCACACTGCTGGACTGGACCCTTTTCTGTTCAATGTCTTTATATTGGGTGAGGACATATAAGATTACGGCAGTGCGGTATATCATTGCACTTTCATAGCTGCATGAATGCACGTAAGTATGTGCATGGGGGTGGAGGGTGGGTGGGTGTGGGGTGTGGGGTGTGGGATGTGTGTTTGGTGTATGTGCCTGTGTGCGTGGTTGTTTGTTCTACCACAATCCGGTTTTATAGTGCTAGCGCACTGAGATATCATGCTGCAGTTTGAACATGAATACCCCACTCACAGGATACTGACTCTGAGCCAACCAACTATATCATAGCTCATCTATGCATGTCGCGGCTAACAATCGGAGGTCACCCGAGTCCCAGGCTTTCTGTACTATAAACCTCCACCATACGCGACATACACCCAAAAGGTTTATGTGTCAAAGTATTTAAAAGACATTGGAGAAAAACCTTGATACGAATCTGAAAACCTAGTTCACTCGGTCGGCACACACGCTTGCAGCCTTGCCAGATTGTAAACGTTGAACTAACACTGGTTTTGATGGTTCCAGATTGGAAAATATACGGGGCATATAAACAACGTTGACCTATTCCTATGTTTATGTCACTTTCGTTTGTAAAATACTTAAGGTTTCTGCTTGTTTAATAAAATCGCCTATAAGTCTCCTTTTCTTACGAGGTGAATATCTACTGCCGGACTATATAAACTATACCATGGTTGATGGCTAAATATGAAAGAAACAAGAAATGGTTATTCCATGGTGATGTATTTGATACGGGTATGTGGTTTGGACCTTAAGTTTGCATTGTTTCGGTGACTGGTTTCAACCTAGTATCTTTTTCATGACGAGTGAAATGTTTTGGGTCAAATCCAACTCCAAGTGTATACTTTCTTTTTCCCGGCAGTTATATTACGAGGTTTATGAACAATATTCAGACTACCGTAAGAGCTTCAATATATATGTCGAAACAATTTTCTTTTATACACACATTGTACCCATCTCGGGAATCGAACCCTGGTCTTCGGCGTGACGAGCGAACGCTTTAACCACTAGGCTAACACCAGTTGTGTGAGTGTCTGCGGCGTGTTCTGACGTTGACGTACATGTCAATCGAGTTCATCCCAGAGGTGTACGATTGGGTTGAGATCTGGAGATCTCGACGGCCAGGGCAAGTCGCATTATGCGGGTAGCTTACCGTGACACGAGCTGTGTGCGGTGGAGCGTTGTCCTGTTGAAACAGCCCCCTCTGGCGGTCAATGATTGGAAGAAGGTGAGGTTGAAGAATTTGATTCATGTCACGATATGCTGTCAAATTTCCCTGAACCACAACCAAGTCAGATCTCGTGGTGTAGGATATGGCTCCCCGCACGATGACACGACCACCACCGAAATTGTACACAACGTGGGGCAAAACGCCCATTTCGATGATGATAAACACGATGTCTTCCATCTTGCCGGTGAAGAAGAAATCGTGATTCATCGCTAAACCACACTCGTCTCCAGTTTCTCAAATTCCAAGGCTGTTAGATATGGCAGCAACGCAAGCGTCGTTATCGATGGATCTGTTGTAACGGGGATGATAACTGATCGTCTTGGTCGGATTCCAGCCTCAGGAAGATGGTTCCTGACAGTCTGGTCCGATATCCTCCTCAAGCCAGGAATGCGTCCTGCAGTCTCCGTAGCTGTGGCATTGCGATGACGTTGGTGAAACAGTCCAATGTAGCGATCCAGTGCAGGGGAGGTAACTCTCGGTCGGTCGGTTCTCGGGCGGTTTGCAGTGGAACTGAACTGTGTGTATCGGTCCCAAAGGCGGTGCTGTGATGCGTCCTGTGGCGATGTTCCGATCGGCAGCGCTGAGTCTCGGCATTTTCGAACTTGAAAAATGTTGACAGTTGAAAGACAAATTATTGGCTTATACTTGCCATTTTATAGCCACTACCCCGAGTTACGAATGCCATAACTTGCACATGCATTTTACTGTACAGTTTTTCTCCATGACATTTTTGAAAAAGTGTGAAAAAAATGCCCTTTAAGACATTGCAAATCGACAATGGCTGTGTTTTGACGCACCGTTTGTCGAATATCAGGCCACCAACATTTTCCAATAACATATATCCAATTTGTATACCTGATGTTTTGTGTAGTCAGTGAACTACACACTACCTGTGCTTTTCTTTGTTTTGAAGAGTGTACAAGACAGTAGAAATCAATATTTATTATGTGCATATTCACATCCACATCCACATCCACACCCTAAAGGATGCTAAAAACGGTACATTATTACCCAGGCCAATGGATCAGTGTGCACTCGATTTTCATTCTCAGCTCCCTGGGGAGTATGCAACCATACAAAATCTTCTGATCCTACCGCGAATCCATTCACCGCTTGGTGAACAGAAGCACATATGTTAGATGTGCTACATGTGCTTCAGTGTTGGGCAGGACAGAAGCCCTAGAAACTCCTAGGAGTGAAGGCATTGATTGCTTAAGCGTTTGAATCAACCATTCAAAGTTTGTATTATCCATTATGCTAATATGTCTTGGTCATCACGCCAAAGTCCATTGTTCAGTTCCCCACCCAGGTACAAAGAGTAAACAATATGTGAAGCTCCCTGGTACTCCCTGTCGTGGTTTTGATGGAATATTTCTAAAACCGCCTTAAACGCACTCACTCAGTGAAATCAATGGAGGGGAGAACAGAACCCTTGAGGTTGTGGGTGGTCTTCGTCTCATGAACAAATGTGCGGTATAGGAATTCACAAATTGGAGGCTTCACAATGTGTATTTCGCTAATCTATTTAAAATGAGTTTAGGGAGCGACGAAATATATTCCCATTCTCTCACACGTGCGGTGTACGTAAGAATTTTCCGTCCACGAATGCCCCCATACATTAGCTGACGCTTCAATGACAGTGCTACACAAAGGACGTTGGTGAAGAAGTGTCGATAAAATAACTGCATCATTACCGCCCTTAACGTATACATTAGCAAGGTCACATTATGAAGAAATGTTTGCGACAATTACAATAACTCCAGTTCGGTGATATTATGATTTCAGAATGACAGCGGCGTTTCAAACACTGAGTCACTGTATTCGAACGTTTGTGTTGAAGGTTCCATCGTTAACATCTTCTCACTCATACGTGTATGCATGATACCATGTTTACATATTGAAACTCGAATTATGATTTTACAAAATAGATGCTGGGTGAGAGAACGGAGAACTTCATATTATAATGTTTTATCATTATTTGACAACAAGGCCGGTTGGTTTGTTGTTTTACGCAGCACTCAGTAATATTCCAGCTAAATGACGGTTGTCTGTAAATAATCGAGTCTGGACCAGACAATCCAGTGATTGATATCATAAGGACGAGAAAGTATGGAGGCAAGTAGCTTAAAAATGACTAAATTATTACTTGAGGATAGCGTTTATTCTTTAAACCATTTTCTTTTAAATAACTGAAATACCTGCTCAATCGAGTATAAAGTCTCGGGCGACATCGATGAAAGGGATCCCCTGTAGGGAGAAACCAGCAGTCGAGCGAAATATACCAGACAGTAGACAATAATAATAATAGTAATAATAACAGTTATAATAATAGTGGCGCGATCATTTTATTTCCGTCTTCGCCATGCTTGTGGTCTTGACACAGAGGTCCACCCGTGGTACGACCCGGAATATGTCGAAAGCGTCATGGAAAATGATAAATACAAAATTCTTTGCAATAGGCCCATTTACAGCCTCAGACGTATCCAGGCCAACTAACCTGATTTTGTCCCTTTCGATAAATCCAATGAAATCATTTATATCATTGAATTTTCTGTCCCCTTTGACACTAATGTGATTGACAAGATTGAGTAAAAACATGGCAAATATGCGGACCTCGCTTTCGAAATGTCAAGCTTGCATCCCAAGTACCAAGTTGTCCGACTCCGATTGTTCTCGGTGCCTCACGTTTGATATTAGAAAAGGAATATTTCAGGGTGATTCTTTCAATCCTTTGCTTTTCTGTTTGTCATTAACTCCCTTAAGCTTTTCGTTTAGAAAAGAGCAAGGTTATCATCCTGGACCTCCTCAGCACAGATCCCCAACACGCCTTACTCACCTTCTTTACATGGATGACCTTGAACTTATTGCCAATGGAGAATCCACACTCAAAAAACAGATTCTCCTTGTCGAGTCCTTTTCTAATGATATCGGCATCTCCTTTGGCCTCGACAAATGCAACATTCTTCATTTGAAACGTGGCAAGGTAGAAGAGGGAGGATCAGTCAGTTTACTTGGAGGAA